CCCTTCCCTCTCCGAGTTGGTCTCCCTCAAGAACATGCAGCTTTTGTCTCAGCTTTTCTTGTTTATATGTTTGGCAGGGTTTTAGCTAGTCTGTGTCACTGGTGTGTGTAAAGTGATTTAAGCTTCAATTTATCCATGTGCTTAAGCATTTTGCTGAATGAGCTCCTTGCATTGTCTGATCCCTGGGTTGATCATTCACAGGGTTGCTGTGGAAGGAAGAACGCTAAGGGGGGTAGGTGGGGGGGTGAAGATATCAGGGGGAACTTAAGGCAGGAATACAATTTAATTTTTAATTGGCTGGATCTAGAGTGGACAGTTGGCTGGAAGTCTCTCTTTCTCTTCCTTTCATTAGAGGTCCTCTGTCAGACAGCTACTACGTGACGAGTTTCCTCGCTGCTGGGCTGAGAGTGCCTGATGCTGGCTATCATGGCCGACCCTGTAGCAGAAGAGCACGCGTCCCAAGTGAGTGAACTCTGCTGCGAATGTGGTCAGTTCCACCTCTTGCTGGACAATCATCTCTACAACTTCCAGGATGAAGTGGACGATGAACTCATCTGCCATATCTGCCTCCAGCCTCTGCTTCAACCTATGGACACTCCCTGTGGACATACGTACTGTTTCAAGTGCCTTGAAAACTTCATGCAGGAGTATAACTTTTGTCCTATGGATCGGAAAAAGCTCTCTTTCCAGCAGTGCCACAAGTCCAGCCTTCTAGTACGAAACCTGTTGGATAAGCTGATTGTCTTCTGTCCTTTCAAGGCAGAGTGTCAGCAGACGATGCAGCGGTGTGAACTCGAAGCTCATCTGCAGAACAGGTGCATTCCCATTTACATCATATTACTGCTTTTTGTATAATGCCGTCCGTCTCTTCTGACTAGAAAGATCCATTCTCAGAACAATTCTTAAACTGGGGCAAGATGGGACACCAAAGATGTCAGAGGGTGAGGCCAGAAAGGTGGGTGGTTGAAGACAGTGTAATTGTGCCTGTGTGTGTTACAGGGAGGCCAGCTCACATGTGCTAGGGAGGCGAAGGGCGAGGTGCTTGCCTGCCTGCATGCAAGTTGTCTGCAGACACAAAACTTATCAAATGTATATAAATTTGTGTCCCCTGATCTGGGGCACCTGACTCTGAAAATTATTATAAACGTGCTTATTCTTGTTTTACTTGCGCAGAGAAGAAAGACAGGCACAAAGTCAACACTCTGGAAGCAAGGGATCATGCAGTGTTGCCAGTTTAATTGGTCCAATTAAGATGTGCAATATATGTCTTTGATCCAAATAATGTAAGTCCCTCCAAGCTGCACATTATGCAGTTGCTGAATCACCTACTTATAATTCCATTATCTTCTCTCATTCTTTTGCTGAGAAAGAGAAGCAAATGAAAAATACTTTTTTTTTTTTTTTTTTTTTTTCTTCCCCCTTGTGTAGAGGAAGGGAGACTTTTTTTTTTTTTTTCTTGCGCTTGTCAGCAGAGATGTGGTTTGGTGCTTCCACTGCTGGTTGAGCTGGTGGCAGGCAGAATGTTGTAGCTTTAAAAGAAGTGCAGGTGACGAAGAGCTCTTGCCATGGTGCTTGGAGAACACTTGTTCCTGCCTAGTTAATGATTGCAAGGAAAGGGAGCTAAGTACAAGCCCTGCTGCAGGTGGAAGCAGACCTTCATTGGCAGCGTGGATTTTGTCAGTGGGCCACGAGAAATGCAACAGGCTTGTTTCCCTTCAGCTATGTTGTAGCTTTTTGTGGCAATGACCTATTTTAAAAATAGGTCAACCAGTGTGCAGGGAACAGTTATGCTTAGGCTACCTTTCAGTCTAGGAAGTTTCCTTGCAGTTCTTGCTCATCTTTGGTACCCGCGAGCTGGGAGCTTGTGTTAGAGCCAGGGGAAGTGACAGAGATGCTACTGTGCCCCTTTCCCTCGATATGTGAATGCTTATAATCTCCTTTTTCTTGAACTAACTCTTTGTACTGCTTTTTGGTTGTCAGGTGGGGCTGAATGCTTAGGCTATGGGGACAGGGCTGCTCAGTTGTGTAGCTGGGGCCATGGCCCATAGCAGGGCTGGGCCTTCCTCTCTGCTCTGTAAATCTACTCTGGTATCAGTAAACTTCTGTCACATGTTAATCCCTCTGGCACAGTAGTTAAACACAGAAGAGGGAGGCACCCTTAAATGTTTATGTGAGAGACCTGACTGGAAACTATATCATTCTCTTACACATTTCATAGTTCTTTGTATCTTGCTTAGGGAGGTGTGTTCTAAAATCGGAGGCTGTTGCACCTGGGCCGTGAGCATAGACTGGAAAATAAAAAAAAAAAATGGGAAAAAAATTACCCTGGGATTTGGGTGTTTCTGCTTTTTTTAGTTTTAAGTGGGATTAACTGATAGCAGGAGACTTCAGGAAATAAGAAGCATCGAGAAACTTGTTTTCTTGGGGGATTTCTCTGCGCTTTGCAAAATGAATTTGTCTCTTGACATCTTAAGAGGCACATGTGCACAAGTGGATCAATTAGCTTCTGTCTTTAATTTTCAGGGTCGTCTTACTGCTTGGACAATAAATGACTAGGAATAAACCAGAGGAAGTAATACTGGGATGAGACTTGTTTAGCCAGAATGTAAATAGTTGAGTTTAATTTGAAAAGTGACTCTGGTAAACACCCAATACTACTCATGCCTCTGAAAGTGATGCTTTTGCATTCATCATCCTCCTCACCTGCCACCTTTTTTATAAGTACTCTTGATAAAAGACCTTGTTTTTCCTCGCTCATTTTTGCTGAGATAGGCTGGCTGTGGTGTAGCTGCATACAGAGTGCATTTTGTTGAATGTAGAATTACTTGTTGAACCCTCGTGTGGGGAGCAGTCAGTGGGATTATAAACTCCTCTAAACTGCTCCCATTCAAGTAGAGCCAGCACCTGCGTGGACCAGAGGTGGAGTGCTGTCTGAGGCTGGGGTCTCATTCAGCAAAAAAAAATAAGCAAGACTCGCTTGCTGCTCTTGCGTGTTACTGATTTGTTAAAAACAAAGCCTAATTCAAGGCTGAGCTTGAAACTCGAGCCACTTCCTTTGCATGAAGTTACAGTTCATAGCCATCACTAAAAGGGCAGAGCTAAGTATTTGCTTGTATTTTAAGAGGTATTGTTTTCTTCAGGGAGTATTTACCAGGTAAATATTTAGCAAGGGAGACTCCTGTTCCTATTGCATTCTCCTTTTTTAAATAATTTGCTTAAAATTTTTGAAAGTAATAACATAACAAGCCTGCTCTTAAGCTGATACTGGTAGAAGGTGAAGGTCAAATGAGAATAAATTTTAGGATCTGTGATTCAAGCTTCACAGCTGATGAGATCTTGAACGTGCTTCTTCACATACCTTTGTCAGTCAGAGCTTGCGTGTGCTGGGTTAACCATGCTGGCAGAGACTAGCCACTTACTGACAATCTCTCTCCAGGTGTCCTGGTTTCAAGAAATACAAATCGGAACTGCAGCAGAAAAAAAATCCCATTTCCAAAGGGAAGGAAGATCCTCCTGCCAAGGTGGAGACAAACACGCCGAAGGATCCAGAGGAACTAAGTGGAGGATTGTCACTTGTGGCAGAAAGCTCTGCAGCTGCTGTGGTATCGCTAGGGACTGCGGAGCCTGGACTGGTTAATCCAGCTTTTGAGGAGACTGAAGAAGGTGAGAGTTTGATACAGAAATGTAATTATGTAATTACCCTTTATGATATAAAAATGAGGTAATTATCTCAGACGATTCAATTTTTAAAGTGTCCCCAACATCCTTAGATATCCTCAGTGCTGTTCAGCCATTAGTAGCCATCGGAGTAATCTCTTTCCTCAGTTTGTCCTTGAGCAGAAGGGAGATGCATTCATGTGCATCAGGTGTGGCAGGATCTGCTCACAAAACTGTCTGTGCAAAACAATTTGGAGAATCTGTTAAGACTGCAGTGAATATTTGCAGTACTCTTTGCAGAAACAAAGGCAGTCCCTGTCAATGGGAACATGCAGCACTTAAAGCACTTGCAGAGGCCAAATAATTAGTACTTGGGAAATGTTCCAGCTTCTTCTTAATCTTGTTAAGAAAGTTAAATACACAGTTTCCTGGAGTGGTCAGTACCTCCCTAATGGTGTGCAGCAAGTGTATTTTTTTATAGCATAACTTAGTTTTTGGATTAATGGTCAGTTATGAAACCCTTGCAGATAAAAGTAACCATCTCCAGTATAGAACTGCTTGCCTCAACCCCTGTTAGAAGGCAGCAGCGTGGAAATCTCCGTGCCTTGTCTCAAAGTTAGTCTCAGTTTCCAAGCATGCAGGCACCAGAGCTGGCACCTGCTGTGCCTGTGCCAGAGTAAATACACAGGACAGTTTACTTCTCTGTTGGCTTTTTTCCCCGAAGTACACTTGGGGCAGGTTTTGCATCTCTTGTGTGACAACTGCAGTTCACCCTGACAGGCAGCGCGCTTGGCTTCATTAGAGTGTTGGGCCTGCCTAAATGTTGCAGTGCTGGTAGATTTCATATGACCTGCTGACAACAACTTTCATCTTCAAAGTGTCTGAGAAGCATTGCTTAGTCTTCAGTATGCTGTGAAATAGGTAAACATTACTCCTGTTTTACAAGGGGGATGGGAAAAGAGGAGGGAAGTTGCAGCGAGCTGCCTGTGGTAAAGTCACCGCAACGGCAGACCGGTAATTACAGCTCGGTAGTCCCCTTTCCTAATGGGCACTGGGGAAATTGGCATTTGTTATGTGCGTACTTCTAGTAGGCTGGCTGTCACTGCAGAAAAAAATCTCTAAATGGTAAGTGAAACATACTGAATGCCCTTTAATAAAACTCAAGAAATAATAATGACAGAGTTTAAATTTGCCATAAGCTAGGATAAGATAGGAAACGCTCTGGAGGATCTCCAAATAAACAGGGGCTTTTTAAGCTTTTAATCTGACCTATTCTTTCCTCTCCTGATAGCTGCTTTCTCTCCAGATGCTACTTGGAACACAACCTGCCAGTGTGACAAATCTTGTGGTGCTATGTGAAGAAAAATTCTATTAATGTGTTGTTTTTTCTCTTCATCTTCCACAATCAGACCTTCCTCAGAGAACTAGTCTTGTGGCTGAAACGACCACGATTGAAATTCACCGAGAAGACCCGGAGGAAGAGCTGGGGATGAGGATAGTTGGGGGTAAAGACACCCCGCTAGGAAACATTGTTGTTCAGGAAGTCTTGCGGGATTCTGTCATTGCTGCAGATGGAAGAATAGCACCTGGGGACCATATTCTTGAGGTATGTAAAACCCCGCTGGTAGTCCCATAGCTTCTCTTGACTTGAGATGGGGGCTGGGGGAGGAGAGTCGCCTAGAAAAACTGGGAAATCTCTACAGCTGAGGGTTTAAAAGCACTGATCAGCTTGTGTGTCAGTAGCATGGTGTATCTGCTGGGGCTGAGCAGCAGACTTTTGAGGTTCCTTCCAGTTATACTCATATTTACCTTGCATATTTGATAGCTTTTTGGAGCTTTTTTGAAATGTAGACCATTTAGGATCAAGTAAAAAGATTTCTATCTGATAAATTTCACCCAGTAGCACCATTTCTCTCCAAAGGACTGTGCTCTAATTAGGAAGTCTTATAATTGCTTGCTGTACTATGTTGCTTAAGCCGCATATTCTCAATGGGCAGGTCCAGAGTTTAAGACCTTATGAGTTGAAGTGAGCATCAGATATGTAATGTGAGTAATAAAGAGCGCCAGCCTCATACCGTGCTGACCCACGGCCAGATTTAGTTTCCAGGTTAATCACGCTGCATGGCAGTGGGCTGATCAAGGCGACAGAAGCTTGTATGCAGCAGTAAAGCCTACATGCAGCAAGAACTGTTAGCACCTCCTGGCTATGGCTGCCCAGTCATTTGAGAAGCAATAAAGACCTAATTATCCTATTGGACTGTGGACTTCAGTACAGCCTGGCAGCTCCACATGCACAAGTGGCCAATACAATCTCCGAGTTGGCTTCTTAGATAGACCAGTAGAGTAACTTCTGTTTTATCCAGTTGGACTTTACGTGTCTCAGTCTTGACTGGGCTCTAAATAGGACAGGTCCCCACACTTAGTAGCCCTGTTAACATCCTGAAAAAAGACTGCATGGAGTCTTACGTGACAACAGACAAAGCGAAAAGTAGATTCTCAGAGTTACCTTGGTAAAAGCATGATTAGACTGATGATTCCAGAAGTTTGTAGACTATGGACCACTCTTCAGCTTAAAAGTGAGGATGGGTAGTCTCCAATTTGAGTCTTCTCCTCCTAGTGTGTATTGAATGCTGGAAGTTAAGGGAAATCGGTTCTGCGTTGCCACGCAGAATGATTTAATGTTTTGCAGTTTCAGATTTGTTAGTTATGTGAGTTGTCCTGTCTTGCCCCTGTCCTCAGCTATTCACCATTAATTATGGTCTAATTTCATCTGCTTCCTTCTGCATTCTTTTTGAGAAAACTCTGCTCTGTAATGTGCATCAGAAGCAGCTGCTTCAGTCACGGCATTGCACAGGGAGTTGTACATCCTGTCTCCAACGTTGTGATGTTCCGCACTGCGGACAGTGCCTAAATTATGTAGGTTCTGATTAGTGACTCTGGTTTGTTTGTCTTTCTAGGTGAACGGCGTCAACATCAGCAGTGTGACTCACTGCCAAGCTGTCTCCTTCCTGCGCCACCCAGGTCCTGTTCTCCACCTCATGGTCCTGCAGGAGAAGGGTTTTTCCAATAAGACTGCACAGCAGGATTCCACTTCTGCTACAAATCGGGAAGTGATCCACGTTACCTTGATAAAGAGAGACCGATCTGAACCCTTGGGAATCAAACTGATCAGGAAGACGGATGAGGCAGGGATTTTTATTCTAGATCTGTTAGAGGGAGGTTTGGCAGCCAAAAATGGAAAGCTGAGTCGGAATGACAGAGTCCTGTCAATAAATGGCCAGGATTTGAGGCAAGGAACACCCGAGGCTGCTGCCCAGATTATCCAGGTAATTTATGACATGGTGAGGTTGTGTGGCTAATGACTCCGCAGCTGCCTGCGTTGATGGCAGGGCTCCTGTTCTGACCCAAGGGCTAACAGAACACACTAGAGCAAACTGCATTCCCTGAAATATCTCTTTGGGAAAGTGACTTCCCTGTGGATGTGTGGGAAGCATCGCTTCCAAATGAAGATAAACACGAAGAGTGGGAATCTGTTATGAGTCATCTCTGACAAGTCTGAAGCGAAGCAGTTGCTCATGGCAGTTTAGTTCAGCTAAGGCAAGTGGATCTCCTTTGTGGTGCGGTGTTTGGAGCCTTTCTTGCAGAGTGAGTATTTGTATGCGCTGTGTAGATGCATGCAGCAGAGACAAGGAGAGATTAGGACAGCCTCTTGTGCTTCAAACAGCCACACTGCAGGTGTTTGTTGGGAGATGTGATGGGCTGGCAGCACAGAACAGAACCCTTTCGACTGATTTGAAGCCCTCTCCCCATTTTACCTGTATTTGGGAAGGGAGTCTAGAAAACTACATGAGGCACCTCAGGCTAAAAACACTCTAAAACACTAAATGGGTAGAAGAGGGGTGGTCTTTCCCTGCGCAATAGGAATGCACTCCTGTTGCAACATGCCAAGTGTTTTGGTGAAAGGAGTGGGCAAGGAGTTTTGGTTAAGGATTAAGGACTGCTGTGTGTGCAGCAGATATCACGTAGATCAGTTTAAATTCTTTATCTCCCTAGGCAATGACCTTCAGTTTCTGTTTTTATCTAAAGATCCTGACACAATACATGTCATCACATACTGTTTATATCCCGGAAATATCTGAGGTCAGCAGTGAGGGAGAGCCAGTTCTCTTCCTGGTAATCAGCAGAGGAGTGCAGTGGCATGGGATAAAAGAAGACAAAGAGCAGAGTTCCAGTACTGAGATCCTTTTTTATGTTATATATGTGGTTTCATTCTATGGCCTCTTAGAATTTTGTTTGTATTCCATTAAGTGCTGCTGTATTTCTGTTGTAATGTGCAAGCATAACTCCCATATGAAGAACTCTTTTCTTGATCCAGCTGAAACCAGTAATCAAAGTCTCAGAACCAGCTTCGGTAGGTTTGGGGAGTGAATTCCTTTTGAGGTGACATTTGGGTAAAACTGCAACAGTCCTCTTTACTTTGAGGGTGCCTGAGCCCTGGCCCAGGCTGCCCAGGGAGGTTGTGGAGTCTCCTCCTCTGGAGATATTCAAAGCCTGTCTGGACGAAGTCCTGTGTAACATGCTCTAGGAGAACCTGCTTTAGCAGGGGGGTTGGACTGGGTGATCTCCCGGGGTCCCTTCCAACCTTTGTGATTCTGTAATTCCAAACATCATCTGCTCTTCTGAGGGCTAATTCGAATTCTTGGTTAAATGTAATTTTAATTTTAATTGCAAAGCATTTGTAGAAAAGTCCTTCTACCTGTATTGTAAAGTACCATTTACAGCGCTCTCTCTCAGTGTCTCTCTCTCTCTCTGCACAGCCATATGTACTGTACATACTCTGGTACTCCTGGTTGAAGGGGAGGGCAAATCCCCATCTCAGGATGCAATGTTTACAGTATACTTTTTTAAAGACACGGATGTGTGCCAACTTACCTGGAAAAAAAAATTGCTCTATCTGAAGTGGCTTTGCAGGCAAGAGGCTTTTAAATTCTGTTTTGGAAAACAAAACTCTCCTGTACTAGTTTAAAAAGAAAAAAAGCAAAACCAAACCAACACAAAAGAGTTGATGCAGTCCCTCTTCCAAGGCCAGGGAATTCGCTGCTGCCAGGGTGCTGTGGCACCAGGGAAAATGGGGTCCTATGTCAAGAAGCGAGAGCGGCAACCGTACTTCTCTCATCCATTTCAGGAAATGCCCCAAGTACCCACATACGCCTTGCCCCAGTGGAGTCCTTCACAGTAAGGTTTTGTGAAATTACCTGAAAGAACAAAGCAAACTAGAAGAGCAGTAACAATAGTGAATACTTTCCCTGTAGTTCTGCCAAGGCCAGACATACAGCTGGTTAAGTGTTTAATTAGCAGCAATCTTCGACAAAAGGTCATGTTTTCAGGTACTCTGGGAAAAAAATGGGTGGAAGATGTTGAACAATAGACGTGGTACATAAGCT